ATGATTATAGTCCCTTAATTTCTTTTTCTTCGTCTTCAAGCATCATTCTGGCTACTGCTAAGGTCCGCATTCCTGTTAATCCATCTTAACTTTAGTTTGTGGCTTCCGCGTTAGGGACCCTAATTAATTCCATGTATAAATGTACAAAACAGGGCTTTTGGGTCCGCCATGTTGTATTGTTTTTGTCATAATGGTATAAAGGCACTTCCATTTAACGTACTCTACCGACTTACCTTGAACATGTCCGATGCGGTAACTTAACCAACTTTCCTGAAGCAATCTGTCTATATTATGATATTCCTTCACGTACTATTCCAAAATAAATACAGTCACCTGTTAAAAAGCTCGTTTCTGTTCATCTTAAATTTTAATCATAAAACAATAAACATCTTTATTTACAAATAAGCAATAAATATGAATATTTCTGAAATTCGAAAGCTACTAAAATATTATTATTTTAGTTATTTTATTCAAATTTAAGGCAAAAACCTTGCCTTGATCCAAATGTTAGTGAAAGGAGTATTTTTTATTATGTCAGAAATGTGAATTAATGAATATGGGACTTACAAAAGCACTGCGAAAATTAAATGGGGAAGATGATGTATAATTTGTGCCATCCCTTGGGTCATTTTATAAATGGTATGAGATTTTTTTATTCGAAATGTGATGGCAAAAATAAAGTCTCGGTACTCAGCGAAAAATAAATAAAATAAATAAATCAAAATTTGAGTGAGAGAACATAGATTTGAGCTACATTAATATTTATTGAGAATGAAAATAGACAATTTGATTAGGGTTCGATATTGTGATTAAGAATGATAGAATTCAGAATATCTCCAAACTTGGCTTAATAAGGTTGTTATAATTTAAAATAAATATTATGTTAAAGGATGTGCTAATAGCTTGAGGGTCGAAAGGTAAAAGTACAACATAATATGAAAACGTAATGGTTTGCTCTTGGTAGAATTAATTGTAATGTTTATGTAATCTAAAATTATCTTTGATTATGACGTGGTGAAAGAATCTTCAACAATAATAAATCTTACTAAACCTTATATAGTGTCTGTCTGTAATAGCAAAATAACTGCCTTTTATTGAGCTCAGGGTTTTTTTTGCATGGCATTAAGACACAAATAACCATTTTAAAAAATCTAGCGCGTAGTAAATATATGCCACCTGCTTGTGCATCGTTTATTTGAAGCCACTAGGCCAGACATTTTTTTGTGTATAGTTTCTTTTTAATTTGGAGTAACAATTTCAACATAAGATTCATAAGGCAACTACGAGTATAATAATAGCTCTAATAACTCACAAGTTACTACTAAATGCGCTAATAGCTGATGCACCTAACAACTCTCTGCTGTGTAGTGCGCGAGCTCTAACGAGTCTAATGCCATAGCCAAGCTACTTAGTGCGCAATCAACGAGTTTTACCAATTTTATCTAACTCAAACTCAAACATTTATTGTTAAACCATAACGTACACAAGATGTTATAAAATAATGTGAGACCAATGTTATAGACCCTGCTGGGCATGAAATTTAGGGACTAGAAGGGAGGAAGTGTATTTAACTACTTATAACAATGTCATCGTGGTTTACTGAAATAGAAATCAATCTAAATGAGTGATCATTAAGTGATCATTTTTTAAAAAAGGTATATGTATTATTTTTAACCTTATTTTTATTTCTCAGGCCGTGTAGATGCGCCGTAGAGAAATCACGATCCGATATCATCCTGTGGGTGGCGTATGAGGCGACAGAGAGAAATTAAACAGGAAATAGGCAGCAACATCATTCTGAAATTATGGCAATAATCCTACCAATGATGCTATCTAAGGGGATTGATATAACAGGCAGTGGACAATTGATAGGCTATATTGATGATGACTATTATTATTGTTACAGAAATTTGATTTCATTGAAAAGTGGCAGCTAATATCTGGCTTTGTGTGACTTGTATTAAAATTCAATTTGCTATACAACGTGTTAATGAATATTTCGTTCTACAATTGCTTTCGTGGAGTAATTAAGACAGGAAGCATTTTTGTATTGATCCTAATAGGTGTAGAAGAGTTTATGTAAAATAAAATAAACATAAATCTAAAATAATTTTCTTTCCTTAAAAATATTAACCTATTAGGCCCAAGAAATAAATCTTGTTGCAAGTTTATTCATAAAAATCGAAATCTACTTATGAAATTCTTAAATGTTCTCTATCTCTCCCTCCCTCCCTCTCTCTCTCTCTCTTTCTCTCGTTCTCTCTCTTGTCACTTAATGAAAAAAGGAGGTTCACATAATGATTTCTTATATTTACGCGAAGACTACACATTAAATGAAACTAATTTTTACGGATTTTATCGCGTTTAATTTAACTTTTTAATTCCCGATGTTTCTGGTGCTTCACAGCACCCGTGGTCACGAAGGGGAGGGCTGATTGAGGTGTTTGACGTCCCGATGTCATAGTTAGTCCGGCTATCAGTTTTTGAATATTAATTTTTGGTTCGATCTACGCAGAATTAAAAAGTTAAATTAAACGCGATAAAATCTGTAAAAATTAGTTTCATTTAATAAAAAAAGGAGGGATAATTAATACTTAATTTAAATGAGGGACAATCAAAAATTTAAAGTTAGGTTAATCTTAATCCTAAAAGATATCTTTGTGTATACGGAAGCAGTTTTTAAATCACCGGTGGTAAAAAATTCCACTAAGAAGTTGTGCGGGGTAGTAAACTTCTTGAAAAAATCTCACAGTAGTGAACCGCCAATATTCCAGATGCTACAGATGGTATTGCTAGTTCTGTCGCAATGTGCGATGGTCAAATTGAGGGGCTGGTATTAGTGCTAATAATTCCTCAGAGCACTCTTCGTGGTAGATGCGATGTAATGTTAAAATAAATGCAACATTCCTTCCAAGTGCCAGTGAGTCAAGCTGTTCAGAAAGAGCTCGTTTGCAAACGATTTAACTGCTCTGCGTTGGATGCAATCATGTGGAAGGAACTGAAACGGGGGGTCTCGGTCCGGAGATGTGAACAGTATTCCATGTGAGGTCGAATCTGCGACTTGTAAAGTTGCAGGTTGTGTGCCAGAATGAAATCCTGTCACGTATACTGAGCAAGCCAAGCTTTTTAGAGGCCAATTCGTCCTTCTCTTCCAAGTGACCACGAAACTGCACATCATTCGATATGTCGACGCCAAGGATTACGATACTAGCTGAGGCAACAAGATACTGAGTGGACGATACGACAAAGGGGTTCTTTTTAGCAGTAAACGCGCAAACTTGTGTCTTCTGGGAATTAAACTGGACTAAATTTAGTCGCCCCAAATCCGAAACTTTGTTCAAGAAAGTTTCAACAACGTACACAAATTTGTTCAGGTACTTTTGTCACAGATTAAAGAGTCTTTAAAATGTGACGAAAGTTAGCAACGAACAACATTTAATATTATATATTTAGAAGAGTACGTACATTTAATTTATTTTTAAGAACCCTCTCTTGTTTTCTTGGTGTTCTTGCGCTCAGTAGGTATAATTTTCCGCGTAAACAAGCTTTTTCTTACATCATTAGGTACATAATTTAATTGTTTTGGATGTACGCGTGGTGTAGAGTGTTTAAGGTGATACCTCTGTAATTTTGCAAGGAATTAAGTAACAAGGTCTGAGGTTAGTAGGGTAATTGCTTTTTATAAATTAAACGAGCGTCAGGTATTATAGGTATTATATTTTAACTAAATCAAGATTAAAGATGTGGCGTATCTAGCTTTTTAAATTTAATAAGATTATTTTTGTTTTTATTTTACTAGAACACATTTTGTCTGAGACTTGTAGGTCCCATGTTTATGTGGTACTTATAACAAAAAAGTATAGACGAGAAAGCAGCTTTTGATAAGCGAGTATTCTAGAAAGACGTATTTCTACGTATTTACTGTAAGTAGTAGAGCCGTGCTACAGCTGTAATTACCTCTGTACCAAATTTTGATCACGGTGGCTAGTTTCAACGGAGACTAGCCATCTGTGCAGTGAAGGATTAATTACTGATACGGATGGTATGCAGACCAGGTACAGGACAAATCGTTGTACGTGCATTTTAAGGCACGGGTTGAAACACCGCCAACTTCCTGACTCCAGGCTGCTACCGAGAATTACTTTACAGAAAAACCAAATAGCTGACTCTGGCCCTACCTGTTATCCGACCTCAGTACCACATGATCAGCAGTCGCACTTACGACCACTTGACCGACGGGGCAGTATATTATTCTGGGCAATATTCTGAACAAACAGGATACAGATAACCATATTATTATACACACCATTTGGTTTCCACTTTAAGATCTGGCAGCCCTATAATGCAGCTATATTTTTGATTTATGACTTAATAAACTGGTAGATTAAGTAAAGAGATAGAATAAATAGAGTTGAAGAGAGGGTGGTGGCTGAGGGTCTTAGCACTCGCTCTAGGTTTCATAGTACGATAAAAACCCGGGTTAGATCCCCGCCAGCATCAATGAAGTAGTTAATTGCTATTTTATATGCTCATTTACCACGTGCTCGGTGGTGAAGGAAAATATCATCAAGAAATCTGCATGTCTGAGAAATAAAAAAATATTTCGAATATATGTGAAGTCCGCTAAGGGAACTTGAGTCTCGTCACTCCGAGACGAACGTGCAAACACCACGCGCAAGTGAACGCTAAAATGCACCGGTGCTGTATTAATTTATGAATTTGTATTCAGTCTGGTCGCGGGTGAGATACCCTCACGTCACTCGCACGTTTACACAGACCTACATCGCGGCAGGTACTTACTTGCCTCCTCTTACCCTCTCAGAAGTGAGAGAAGGTCTGCGCCTAGCAGTGAGATATACCGAGTGCTTCAAAAAAATGTATACACACTTTAAACTATTGTAGTTTTTCCGCTCTACAAGGCTAATGTTATATTTCTTCGCCAGGTGCCAGCATAATCGTCCCTCTATGTTATATTATCAGTTGGAATTTGTAATATCAACATGGGGGACGTACGTTTGAGTTTTGAAGAACGTAAGCAGGTTATTAAGTGGTACTGGAAGTTTGAGAATGTAAATGAAGTTCAAAGACAGTGGAGAAGGGAGTATGATACAGAACCACCTTCAAGATTAACAATTACACGCATACGAGACAAATTCGAAGTTCATGGAACAGTGTGTGATGTGCATAAAGGTCATTCAGGTCGGCCTCGAAAAGCTACAAGTGATGAGTCATCAACGGCAGTCTTGGAACTGTTTCAACGCTCTCCTAACAAATCTTCAAGGCAAGGGGCACGTGAAAGTGATGTAAGTGCTAGCAGCGTGCTACTCATTCTGAAGAGAGGCAAGTATCGTGTTTACATTCCAAGGCTGGTGCAACAGCTAAATGACGACGATCCAGATCGAAGGTTGCAATTTTGTGAATGGATTCAGGAGATGGTGATACGTGAACCGGGATTTATGGGTAGCATCATTTGGTCGGATGAAGCCCAATTCAAACTTAATGGAACTGTCAATAGGCACAATTGTGTTTACTGGGGTGAAGAAAATCCTCACATTACAATTGAAAAAGCTGTAAATTTGCCTGGTATAAATGTGTGGTGCGGTTTGTCTTCAAGGGGACTCATTGGACCTTTTCGATTTGAAGGCACTGTAACTGGTATTAATTACCTAACAATGCTTGCTGATTCCATATTTCCTGCCATTCGTGCATTATACGGTAATGATGATTTTTATTTTCAACAAGATGGTGCTCCGCCGCATTATCACAGGGACGTACGAGCTTACCTGGATCAAAATTTGTCGGGCTAGTGGATAGGACGCAGGGGGCCAATCGAGTTTCCAGCACGCTCTCCAGACCTTACACCACTGGATTTCTTCTTGTGGGGCACAGTAAAAGATGAGGTGTACAAACGTAAACCACGTAACCTAGACATTCTTTGGAATGAGATTCAAGCAGTGTGTAGAGAAATCTCATTGGACGTTTTGATACGATGTACAGAATCTGTGGTGACTCGTACTCAGAATTGTATTGATGCTGCAGGTCACCAATTTGAACAGTATTAACATTTGTTATTTATGTTTCATTTACATTGGACTTTCAGCTTTCTATTTTCCTGAAATTTAACTTTGTAGAACGGTAAATAAATTTTCTATGGAAGTTCAAAGTGTGTATACATTTTTTTGAAGCACCCGGTATATAGGCTGTAACTTTTAAAGTTGTAGATTTTTAAATAATAGAGCCGTGGTTGCTAAGGGACGTAATTTTCACATACACGGCCAAGATGGGTTCTGTTCCCGATGGCACAAATCAAATTAATTACCCGCACGAGTCTGAGTACATCTCTATAATGCTTATCTTGCCATGCTTGGTTTGATCATTCTCGGAAAATTATGCCCAGTAGTGCATATAGTGCGTTAGAGTAAGGAATGAAGGATTAAGATGCTTTTCGTTTTCAGGGAAGAACCACGTACATCATAGAACAGTAGAATTTCTTGCCGGTCAGCCGATGGAAAAGAATTCCTCGATGCAGGCAGATTTTCTTCTTGTATTACACAATAACACAACACGGCACTCAAAATTAGGTATTGTCTGTTAGTTTATAGCGACATTATTTTATATGTTTTAATTATTAAGTGGCGAAGCTTGCAAAGTCACTTATTGAATTCACGATGTCTGTCCGTCTGTCCGTCTGTCCAACGATTATCTCGAGAAAGATTTTGAATTTTCAAATTCTGTTTTCAGCAATCGATTACTGATCACCCAGGCATCTGAACCTCCTATTTTGAAACTGATTGCTCAACGGCAACCGTTAGAAACCGCTACAAAGCTGATTGCTTCGCCACTTTGCTATGCTGTTAGCTGGCTAGGTTTATTTATTTTCCGAAAGCGGCATGGCCTTCACATCGCTAGAGCTTACTTGTCTTTTGTTTTTTGAAGTTATAGCGTTGGCGGAAATTAGGGATGTTAATATGATAAAGATATATGAAAATATGATAAAGATATATGAAAATATATCTTTATTATATTAACATACTAGCTGTTCCCCGCGACTTCGCTCGCGTGTTAGGGTTTTTATGTTTTTGCGCGGAACCCTAATTCATTTTCTAAAATATATGTAGCCTAAGTTACTCCTTATGAAATCAGCTATCTGCCAGTGAAAGTCCCGTCAAAATCGGTCCTGCCGTTTTTGAGATTAGCCGGAACAAACAGACAGACAGATAGAAAGACAGACAAAAATTTTAGAAATTGTATTTTAGTTATAAGTACCGTATTTACTTTCATATTCATTAAGTAAAAACCTGTAATTTTGACATTACAAACAGACACTTCAATTTTATTTATTTGTATAGATTGGGTTAGAACAATGAATTTAAGGAATTAAATGTATACATTGTAGCGTTTCCGCGTCAGTACCCGGGAGTGGAGTGTCGTTATATTTTCATTGCATTTTTAACAATGCTAGATACAAAACATAATATTAATTATGGATTGCAAAGCTATGAAGTGTGAACAACGTTAACAAAGTAAGCTGTCTCTATAATTGCAATTACGGAATATATCGTCGCGACGCTAATAAAGTTTATAAATATCAATAAATGTCACAAGTGGTAACATCTACAATATTTTGTTGTTTTATTCTGCTTACGTTACAGTTGTTCATTTTAAAGAACTTACATAAGTCAAGTGGTAAGCGCTCACCATAAATTTCTTTGTACCCGAGCTAACCAAGTTCGATCCAGCGGTTTATTGTTCGGTTTGAAGGTAACTTTGGATTTTTTTTCTATCTAGAAAATTTAATGGAATCGTGTTTTCGTTTAACATAGTACTTAAAATTAATCCTCAACTTCACCAAATATTTATTTCAAAATCAATATTTTCGGTATAACGGAGGATCATACTAAGCCATTTGAGGTAGTATAGGCTCTTAAGGAGGAGGCTCGTGTCCTGCCCAGGGATGTAATTTTTTTTTAGTTCGACATGATCTCAGCAAAATTTTAAACAACCCTACTATATTTATTTTATTATTCAAATAACAAACATGCTGTCACACCTGGATCTACCCTCAATTAAGGATCAAAATGTACATAACGCGTTGTTACCCCTGAAGACTTTGAATTATGCGTTATCCGTAAGAGTCCGCGGTTTTCACCATACGAATCACAACAGTATAAGGCTATATTATCTTACCCTAGATTCTGTGACAGCGTTATCCGTCTTTAGTCAAGCTATCTGCAATTTGACTATACAAAAGTCCTAGACAAAAAAGACGATAACACGAGAAAGTTTAATTTATTACGTTGCATATTACTTAAAACCTTATAAAAATTTAATCTTCTTTGATTATTAGCAACACTGAAATAATTTCCATAAATTTGTGCAAATTAGTTGCTCTTCATAATCAAAATTGATATTCATTTTTATTCAATTACAATCTATGAACGATAAAAAATTCAATATCCGAATGTCTTTTCGTTGAGTTTTAAAAGCAAGAACATTATTATTTACACAATTTTATTCAAATATATAATGCAGACATCGTCAAAGCTTTGATCCTGATTATTGATTTGCTACTAATCTTACAGATCGCTGCAGATACTTTTGAAGTTAAATCTGTCTTTAAATGGACCGTGCAATCATTATTTGCTGTGAATATACTTTTCCTTTCAATAGATATATGAAATAGCTAGGTATTAAAAATGGACGTATGACATGACATATACATCAAAAATATTTATAAGTTAATTAATAGAATCACCGCACTTGAGGTCCGTGGAAGTCCGATTCCACTGGTTTTTTTCTTTTTAGTTTCTTCTTGTGCCTTAGTAAGCTTATATCGTATATATTTCGTTGCTTGCGATCACGAATATTAGCACAAAGGCCCCGATCGACGGGCGAGCTATAAACTTGTGGTAAAGGTTACGGCGGATTGACACGTGGTACACGTGGTAGAGCAATGCTGCAGCTATATTAGTAGTATAGTTGTAGCACGAATGGGTCGGCTCGACCGGGAAAGGACCACACTCTCACAGAATACCAGCGTAAAATAGCAGCTTATTGCTGCTGTGTTTCGTATGGTGAGTGTGGAGAACCGGAGACCCTTTTTACTGGAAAAGAGGCATTCCATCTTAGTCCCCACGGGGGACAACGCATCTGCATTTTGATTCACAAACGAGGATAAATGTAGATGTCTATGGGCCACAGCAACCACTTACCATCAGGTGGACTGTGTGCTCGTTTGTCACCCTATCCTATAAAAAAAGGTGGATATACTAGCGACCCAAACTGTTATTATTCATAGTTTTTATTGAAGCAACGTGTCAAATTATATACGATGCTGGCGAGCCGCTAGGTCCGTCGATTTGCAATATCTCGGTTTTGTGATGATCCACTAACGAACTTTACTACTGAGCTTTTACCACCAAGGCCATCAATTTAACATAAGTTTTATGTCGAATAATTTAACAGTTAAAAATTTAATTTTAAACCCATATACGTCTCACTTCTCGGCACAAACCTCCTCTCATTTCTGAGAGAGTTTTAAGGCCAGGAAATGTCCGCCGCGCTGCCCCGATACGTGTTGGCATAATTCACGTCTTTGAAATATTATTTTTCTTATTTCTAATTTCCTCACGATGTTTTCCTTCACCGCCGAGCACGCGGTAAATCAGCACTTAAAATTGCAATTAACAATTTTATTGGTGTCGGCGGGGATCTGGCCTAGGTTGCTCGCGTACTGTTAAACTTACAGCATTCACTATGCCCCTAAGCTACATCTGCATAAATTGTTAAGGCATATTTAATCCCATAATTAAAAATTACTTAACTATTACTTAACGATATTGCAAAAAAATACATTTTCACACAAAAAGATATCTCTCTCTGCGTTTGACCATTTATCAAGGTAATATAACCGTTACAGCCTACTAAAAGTCCACTGCTGGACATAGGCTTCCCCACAGGTTGCCTCATAAGAGGGATATTTGCCATAGTATCCACGTTGACAACCGCAGTTTTTTCTGTTTTATCAGTTGGTTTATGGAAGCGTTGCTGCCCATATTCTAGTTAGTTTCCCTCTGCCGTCCCTTACCACACCCACAAGACAAACACATTTAACAGAACAATTCTAAAAGAACAGAACAATTGTATTAATTTATAATATAAACACCTTGTTCCGTTTGAGATTCAAACCTTCAGCCTCGCAACACTAAGCGCTAAACCACTGCGCTACTGAGTCATGTAAAATGTGGATTCATTTCTTGTTATCAGTGAAGGGAAGGTCAATAGAAAAAGCTTTGACGTGTCATTAATGAAGTTATTTTCTAGATAGTTTACACACGCTCTCACTACAGCCTTTAGATTTCCACTGCAGAACATAGGCCTACCCATAGATTGCCTCATAAGGTGAATATTTGCAATAGTTGCCGCTCTTGTTGTTCTTAGGAAGACTCTACTGCCCATCTCCTGGTTTACTTCGCTTTGACGCCTTCTTACGAAACCCACGAGACGATATAGGGTAGTGTATATTCTTAGACCGCTGCTACATGTTTCTGGATAGCTATTAAGACTCGATTACTTTAAATAGCTAATTTATGGTTTGGAGCTCAGGTAGTTATATTCATAGAATACTATACATTATAGTATTCTATGGGATTATTAGTGGCAACAAATTGACATTTAATGTAAATGGTTTACCGCGTCATTTACAAACAACCGCGCAATCATACGTATTGCGGTGCTCTATGCACGTTATTCGAACACAGATTACATTAAACTAACGATACATTTCGCTACAGCTGCAGGTCCGAAC